CAGCATTAAAATGAGACCAATGAGAATAATTAGTCTGTGGTGTGGAAAACACTTTATAAACCACCCACCAAAGCAAAATTTAAATTCAAAGTGAGCAATGAAGTACATATTAGTAAAGTGAAGCATCAAGTTAAGAAAGACTATATGCTTGGATGAAAAGACGAAATATTTACGATTTACGATAGAATAGAGAGAAAGCCACCAGTGTCTAAACTGCAAGGTTATCTTGGAGAAAAAATATATAGAACATTTTACGAATCTGAACCACAACGTGTTATCAATTCCCCCAATAAACTCTATGCTGTGGAAGAAATATTACATGAACAACGAAGGGGTAAAAACAAACAATAGTTCGTAAAATGGAAAAGGTATCTTGATGAATTGAATAGCTGTACCCTCAAATGGATCTGAATCGCCTACCATCATAAAACATTCATAACTCTGTCACTCGTTATTCAGCATGGATCACTGTGTGTGATGTTACCAAGTAACAGTTCTATGAAGTATTTTGCTAGCAATACTCTGACAAACTATGTCACTCGTCTTCCAAGATCTATCAACCTTGAGGTTCATGGGAAGTGGCCTTGGCTGAATTACAGTATCCACATAGTTGGCATAACATGCCTGATGGCATAGGATGGTTACCAAACTTTTCCGGCCCTTATTCTGCTATCATAATCAATTATATTAGACCAGGTCATTACAAAGATAATGAGGATTTAATCAAAGTCTTAAACCAAGTAGAAGAATCACTTCCTAAACCTGACAATAAACTTATATTTACTTAGAATTCGTTCACCTCAAAAGTAAGTATGAACGTTAATGATGAAGCCTCTATAACACTTGATCCAATACTACCAGTGTTACTTGGATTTGATAATAATCACATGATAACAGAGCCCACCATAACTCCATATACTGTTAACATGCATGGCAGATTTTATTCACTCTATGTTTACTCAGATATTGTAGAACCTGGTATTGTTGGTGATGTGTATATATTACTAATACGGATTGTTCAAGTTAAAGATCAGGGTGGAGACATGATCACTGAGACATTTATCAATCCTCATTTCAAACTATTGAGATTGATATAAAGGACGATATAGGTCGACCTATCTCATCTAAACAAGAAAGAGTCATAATTCTTCATCCTTCTAATCTATCACACCATGAGAGTACCCTAATATCATAAACCAGCTGTCTATGACGCCTATTACGATTAATGAGTGAGAAATGGTTTACCTTATTACGTTGGTAACCAATGGCAACGGGGTCAGGGATTAGGACATGTTTTGAGTAACTTGTTTCGTTCAGCTATGTCATTTATGAAAAAAAATGAGCATTAACCTTAGGAAAACAAGCTGTTCAATCAGACACAAATTTAGCATCAGATGTCATACAGGAAAATATTTTGTTGATGTTCGAAAATAACGAGAAATACAAGGAGCTCAGAATCTGGGTCGAGGTGTCAAACAGATTACCCTACCTAATAAAAAGAAGAAGCATAGAGGTTCCATGTTCAAAAATAGCTAAAACCAAGAGTTGAACAACACTGAGTACAGACTTTTTTAACATGTAATCATGACTCTTCTACCACATGAAAAGTCCTGTCAGTGCATAATGTCTGAGGTAAACTTATTTTCTCTCCCTCCCACGCAAACCCTGACTGAGGAAAGTAAGTAGACTGAATATTATCCTCTATCTTCAGTGACCGACAGAGGACCCACCGAATTGTCTATATCAGGTTTGGGAGATGAATATTTAGATTCAGCACAATCATATCTTTATGTAAAGGCAAAGATTGTCAAACTAGATGGGACCAACATAAAAAAGGATAAATATAACTATTTTCTATTCTACATTTTTTATTTTCACAAGGGGGTGTACACTCGAATTACAAGCTCATTTCTTTATCTCACATCCTTTACGTGTATAAGGTCAACATTAAAAACTTTACTGAGTCTGAAGGGAAAAGCTAAGGTAGATAAAAGACATGGTGGCTAGAACTCGACTTTAATGATATCGACACACAGATACACGTGGTAATCAAACAGAGGACATGATCAGCCTTTTGAAGTTAGCCAATGTTCTTGCCCAATGGTGTAAGTTTAAAATTCCAGCTCTTACAAAGTAAAGTGTGAAGGTGTGTTTTCCAGTTACCAACTGCCTGACTGCCTCCGCATGACCTCAACATAAACAAAAAGTCATCAAGAAGAACGGTCGAAAATCGACTTACAACAAAAATGTACTTCAAGGACCATATACGTCTGTATGTGGAAAATATTGTATATACTATGCTCGTTATCATTGTCGAAATGTTTCAAAGTGAAAACTGTTATCTAAACCTGGATCCTACAAAGATATTAATGATATATTTGTTCGCGATTTTGTAGCAAAAGTTGTCATGTAAATACATCCTTTTAATAGATATTTATTTTTTATGTACATCAGATTGCAAAATATTTATTATGCAAAATTAATAGTGTCAAAATGAAATAATTTGTCAAGTACCCTTATATTGTTATACTAAACTAATATAAAATACAAAGAATAGTTGTATTTAATTAGTTATAGATGTTGATGACACATTAAAACACCCTATGATTACCTTATCATCCTTTTGAACTATTAGCCTAAACGAACACCATCCTCCTATAGAATATTAGCAACACTTTCCACCAATAGAAACACCATCCACCTTTATAAGACGTACGTCATATATACATATATAAGCAAAAACTATATAAAAAAGTTGATAAGATTAAAATAGCAAATTTAATGTTTTACTTATAAAGCAATTGGGAAAAGAAGCTTTTCATTACTGATAATTGTAAACACAACGTTATGTAAATTAGATAAAATATTAATTTTCAGATTTTGATTAGTACTATAAAGTTGATGATATGTTTATCTACATCACCCTATCGTAGTTTCCTCACAAACTATCTGCGCGCTCATCATATCAACGTGCTCTGTGGTGCCACTCCATGGCTTAGCAACATGATCTTTCTGGAGTAACACTCGAACTATAATGTCACGTGACATCTTCTAGCAATGCGCCCTCTGGTCTCTACCCTCTCTCGCTGGGGTCTATAGAACTGACATCATATCGAATAAATAACTTTGCTCTCTGTATTCAATAATGTGTTAATTAGAGAAATGTGTTTCATGAATATATTTTCACAATGCACTTACGTTGACGAAGATATATAGGAGAACAATATCTCACATTTTACAATGTACTCTCTCTGAAAATCTGATTCCTACATATAGAATTACGTCTGACTGGAACCTCTACTCTCACATTACTTAATACGTGTATAACAAGCATTTCCTAGTGTCTACTTGCATACAGATAAGAAGGCATTATTCATCATATATCTGCCATTACTCTTTGTTTGTAACTCCATATTAAGATGTTAAATAGTTTGGTTACCTTTTTTATATAATATTACACAAAAACCATATTTAAATGAAATGGCATACAATCAGCATTTCCTTTTAGTAAGGGACGTATGTAAAGATGTAGAGCCCTCGGAACAGTAAGAATACGACGTCTTTCAGATTTAACCTCTATTTCCAAGCCTTAAATTTGGAAGAACAAAATTAAATAAAATACAAATCTTCAATGACCCACATCTAAAACTATTATTTTTCGTTGAAAAAACATAGATAAAATAGATTACTGCAACATATCACCTTTTTATCCTCTATAAAGGTCACGGACTTGTATAAACAGTATGAAAAAAATCTAAAATTTGCTATTAAGTAGCAATAAAATTTTCCACTCATCCATTTACGTTTATTTTTATATTATAAAACTAAGCCTTCAGTTTGATGAGAAAACTTGAACATCAATGTACAGAGTGTATTCTAATTATGCTACTCATGTGCTATTTATAAAAGGTAACATTGACATACTCGCGCCATAACAGGTATGATGCAACTGACTTAATGCATAAAAATAAAAATGAATATAACAGACGTTTACAGTTACATTATCTTTTGTATCTGGACGACATTTTCCATCATTTGCTACGAAATATATTAATGTTTTAGTGGATAATTTTTGTGGAAAACAATTATACTAAAATGTCTTATCACGGAAAGCCTAAAACACCTATATCAAAATAAGCTATTCTAATTTATTACTAATTTTGCCAACTTTATGTAACTGAGAAGTTACTACATTATTTTTGAACAAAATAGTGAAATAAGTGAAATCCATAATTTTGAAGAAAAAAAATTGACGTTTATTGCAATATATAATAAACAAATATATTTAGTAAATCTAGAACCAACATTGGGTCAGCGGTAAGTTTCTGAACTTAAAATGCTTACATTTATAGTTCGTTTTCCCATAGTTGACAAAAAGTAGATAAAAATAATAAAAAAATAAGATTTAACATCAGAAATGGTTCGATTGAAAAACATATTGGCTGAAGATTTTCTCCACACTTTTATTTTGGGGGGGGAGGGGGGTTCCTTCACCTAATATAAATATTCCTTCATTTTTTGTTAAAATGTGATAATTAATTTATTTCTTGCACGTTACAAAATGTCTAATAAACTAGAAAGATTTCTTGCTAAGCTAAACTTTTGAATTAAAAGGCTGAATCCTATAATGGTTTTTCCACATCATGATTTATTAAAGATTTTTTTTTCAATATTTAATAAAAGGTATTGTAATACATTACTCAGAGTTAAAAGGATAGAGAAATTTTAAATAAAATTATGAACAATTGTTTGAAAGATAATTTAAATAAAGGTTACGCCTGTTTTTGGACGAACCACTTTCTTTTATATCTAGCGTATGTATTTTAAATAAAATCCGTGAGTAACTTACTCCATTCAATGGGCTTTAATAATAAAATGATTTGTTAATATTTCTTGGAATTTGGAGGAAACACTAATATTCGTCCTTTATCTGTTAGTAATAACATTATTCTCTCAGCTTACCTTTATACATATATTAGAAACAAGCCAGTCTTACTTACGGTTATGAGATGCCCACTGTATACTCGCTCTCTCAGGTTTCCTATATATAGCCACAGTATCCAGAGATGAGTGAGGTACGTCATGTATGTCATCCGAGAAAGTGGAATGAATCCTTTCCACGACAAAAAAGCGTTTATGACACCTAGGGGATGAAAAGGGAACTATTTGTTCCTTTTTCTTATACGTAGAAAGTAATGGAATGCTGTCATAACCAGAGAATAATATAAGCTTATACATATTTTCATGTTTTGAAACTTATTGTCTTAAATATTTAATTGCGCATTTGAATATTATCTACAATAAAAGAATATTATGATCTGTGTTCATAATATTATTCAAGAAATTGTTGAAGAAAAGCGTATGCTTTACCTGTGCAAGCTGAGTCTTATTTAATTGCATAAATATATTTTGATGACTTACCCCAGAAAAATCACATAATTTAATTGTACATATCTATATCTTACTTATAAATCTCCAACATAAATTTTGTTTTAACTCTGCCTTGCATAATTTGCATGATGAACATTTGTTATCTGCCCTCTACAGAAAATCGATATGAAATTTAAAGACATTAACACATGAATTTATGTTTTGATTATTTTAGCTATCGTTGTAATGTGCCGCCAAAGGTGGAAGCCATATTTTTTTGTTTGCATTTGTCCCTTGGTGTATCAGGGGTAAAGTAACGGGCTTACAACTCTTAAATCCGGGGTTAGATTCATCGCTTAATGTGCGAATTTTTCTGCTTATATATGGTGTCGGAAGAAAATATCCACATACAATAGTAAGTCTATGGAACATTTGTCAAAATAAATGTATAAGACTAACCTCTTTCTGCTTTGTAAAAACAGACTTATCCAAGCTTTTATTTCATAAGCTGAAAATCCTTGTGATACAAGAAAGTATCTGATTATTCTGATACAGAGATAAATGTATGTGCTCCAACTAAAATTGTGGAATCTTCTTTGCCATGATTGTGAATATTTTGTGTCTCAGCAAAAATATGTTACTAAGCATCTTCATATATTGCATTCTGTATTTATCTTTCAACTTAGAGCATGATCACGAATAAGAGGAAATTGTAATCTGGCACATACTGGGTCACCACAACAGCCATTGCTACCATGATTTTTACCACTATAAAGATCACTGGTGAGGGATTCTACAACATGATATTTTGGAATGCCAGGATTGATAACAATTGAGACACCTAAGATGATTTCAATATATGATCATCCATAACTATTCATATATCTCACCTTGATATATGCAGGAGGATGGGGTGAAATTAAGAATAAGTACAAATTCGATAACGAGGAACCCACTTTGAGACTAATAATGGCTGGAGACGGCTTGAATGGGTAATGAAGAAAAACTTTAATATAAGTTTAACATAACAGCAAATGTACAACGTTTCGGCAAGGTTTTGTCATCATCAGATACAAGTAATTTACACTGACACGGATATATATATATACAGTATTGAACAAAGAAGTCACATTACCGGAACTGTTGTAGAAACTTAAAGAGGTATCTAGG